GTACACATCTGAAATACTATATTCAGAACACTGTTTTTTTCTCACCATGTGAACCACTAGGTATCTGCCACAGCATCTTCACAGTATTTTGTATTGCAAGTAGGGCTGCAACATTTTCATTCTTAGTAATTCTTTTAATTATTTTCTGAATTAATCAATTAATTGCTTGTTATGTGAAAAAGTGAAAAATGCCCTTCTCCTCAGAGCCCAAGGTCATGCTTTCACATGTTTTGTTTTGTCTCTCCAATCTAAAGATATAAGCCTGTTTAATAAAAATACTATCATAGCAGAGAGTGGCTTGCATTCCTCAACCTCTGGGTTGTCAGCCCAGCTGATTTTTGCCACAATACTCTGCTAATCACCCCAGATGGGACTCGAACCCACAATCCCTGGCTTAGGAGGCCAGTGCCTTATCCATTAGGCCACTGGGGCTGCTGCACGTGATAGAAAGCCATTGTGTTTGAGTCACTGTTGGGTGATAATGACACTGGCACTATTATCCTTTTTTAAGTTCATACAATGAGCAGAGATAGCAGCCTTTGTGTGAACTACAATCAGGGAATCATGAAAGTGTGCAGTGCCTGACCTGATGTCCATTGTAGCCTACACAGAAGATTTACTGTTTAAACTATTCACTGTCAGAAAGTTTCTTTTCACACTTTTCTGCCAGTCATGTATTTAATTGTTTTCTCCAAACCTAAGGATATTCACCCGTGTCTCATTGGTGTCTGTGTGTATTTGAGCTTGAATGTAAAGTCACACTTGTCTTTCAGAGTGTCATTAACCTTCGCCTGATGATGGAGGTGACAAAGACGGGCCCTCTTTCAGCCCCGATCCTCAGCAGAACAGCCCAGAAATCCCACTTCCTGTCTACAACTCTTCCCATGGACTGTGTCGTCCGTACCACCTGCAGCGACACAATCAAAGAGTATGTCTCACTTTAAAAGCATTTGAGTTTATATTTCTGACCTGACTCACCAGCAGCTACTGCCATTTGTGCTCACACACTGTCTCACTGTGAAAGAATTTTGTTCTGATGTTGCAGTGCTTTTGAGCACCTGTTGGAGGCACTAACTCATCAGCTGTGTGAAATGGAGAAAGTGACCCTGCAGCACATGAAGGGGACCATGCTGCTGGTTCCTGAACCGCTTCACTTCCTCCTTCCAGAGCCAAAAGGACTAGTGACTGTGGTTTACCCAGCAGGAGTGCCTGACAGCCAACTAGAGACACAGCGCAAGGTAACCAAACAAGCAGTTCCCCTGACAATAAAATTGTTATAATCTTAAACGCTCATACAACATATTGCATAGAGATGAACACTAGGATAAAACACCAGTTAAAAGCATAGTCTTATGTTTGCTTGAGACCTGATTTATGTTCTTTTCTTGCATATCTTTTCATTTTATTTTACACAATATTTCCGTCTAAGCAGGAATTGCATCAACAGTTTGAGCTACCAGATGACTGGCCCTATTTTAGAAGAGCCAATGCTTACCACTTTCCCAATGAGCCCCACAAAGACGGTTACCTCCGAAATCCTCATCTGGTCCTCACACATCCCACCCTGGACAATGGAAAGGTACGGCTAATCACCAAATTAAAGTCTGTCACACTCTGTCCTTTTTTGAAGATGGATGCTGAGACATACCCTGCAAGGAGTAGTAACCCTGATTTGTCTTTTCTTGTGCGTGTGTGTTCTCAAGGTCTACTTGGTCCAGGGGATCTACAGCTATCACCACTACATGCAGGACCACATGGATGACAATGGCTGGGGCTGTGCTTATCGCTCCCTCCAGACCATCTGCTCCTGGTTCCAGCAGCAAGGCTACACAGAGCGGTCTGTGCCCACCCACAAGGAGATCCAACAGGTACAGTAGTGGTCCTGTAGATATGATACGCCGCAATCACATCACAATATAATAGAATTTTCCAATTGGCTGCTTTTTAATGGGCCCTCTCCCTTTCAGGCTTTGGTGGATGTTGGAGACAAACAGGGATCGTTTGTCGGATCACGTCAGTGGATCGGATCCATCGAAGTTCAGGCTGTTCTGAACCAGCTGCTTGAAGTCACTTCCAAGATCATGTTTGTGAGGTGTGTTTTGTGATTACAAGCATATGGATAATATCTTGTGTGATGAGGTAGATCACATTGTTTTCCATTATACATTATCTGATGATAAATGTTTTTACTCTTCAGTCAAGGTTCTGAGTTGGCCTCCAAAGGCAGAGAACTGGCCAACCACTTCCTTACTGAAGGAACTCCTATTATGATCGGTAAGCTGGATGTCTGAATTATTTCAGAACTATTTCTGAGATATGTTACACGATTTTTGGGCCTCTTAGTTCAACTTAAACAGCTTACACAAACTTTAAAACCATAATATTTGTGCATATATTTTCATATAATACTACAGAACCTTTACCTAAAACAATAGTAATAGCAACTCAATAGCAATATGTAATTGATATTAAAACAATTAAAAGTATTGTAAATGTAAACCAATGGGTCAATGGAAAATGCATAGTCACAGAGCTGAAAACAGGGCTGTTTTTCTGAACTCATGAAAAGTTAACTTTTTTTATATATGGTCCTTACACAACAGCATCATACAAACAAATGATGAGCTTGTAGAATATGATACATTGCTGTAGATCAAACTACACAACCATACACGTACACATAAGTTTTGTAAAATGCAGGGACATTCTTAATGGAAGTTGTTTTCTGATGCTTTGAAAGGTTTGTTCACAAGGCATCTTACTTTTACCTGTGTTACAGGAGGGGGAGTTTTAGCTCACACTATTCTTGGAGTGGCATGGAGTGAGACCACCGGGCAGATCCGCTATCTCATCCTAGATCCACATTACACTGGAGCAGAGGACTTACAGCTTATCACAGACAAGGTAACTGTCATAAACATCTCCACTGGCTGCATTTCTCTCTGTAAAGTATACATTTTCGTGCACGGTACAGTGTTGAATGTGCTGTGTATGTTCTCTTTCTCAGGGCTGGTGTGGCTGGAAATCGCCAGATTTTTGGGATCAAACTGCGTATTATAATCTGTGTCTGCCTCAGAGGCCAAAGACTATCTGAGCTCTCACAGCCTTTCAGACGGACATCATGTGGTATCGGTAAATCATCTGCAAAACTTGGTCGTTTTTATATAAATGTGTCCAACAATGCAAGTTTGAGTAATTTCTGTAATGATTTTAAAATCGGTTTTGTCAAGTCCCACATAAGTGGTCGTAGCCACAAAGGCACACATAGAGATGGATGTAATTATGTATTTAAAAGAGACATTGATCATATCATATACTGTACTTTCTGTACTTGCCATTTAAAATGACAAAGGCTGGTGAAATATGTATATTAAATACACTAATTTCATTGAGAAATACAATGCATCAAGGTCAACAGAGTTTAATCATTGCTGAATGTTACCAAATTTATCCATCATGAGTGATGTAAAACAAAGTCTGGAATCTCGTTAACTGCTGGACCTTTTATACTGGACTTACTAATAATTAAACTGTACATTATATTTTACTGTGTCCTCAATTTGTGTTTGTTTCGTTTGTATATATGACAGACAGACAGAAGACTATATATATCTTAAATTTGTTATGGTACCAAAGGAACCCCTAGGCGCCCCCTGGTCCCACTCTGAGAACTGCTCGTAGCTGCTCCTGAATGCGGCCTGATCTGTACTGATCCCTCTGACACAGCCCATTATTATAAAACAATAACTCCCTGTAATTGAGTTTTTACAACCAGTCAGTTGTCAGAGTCAAATAGACGTTTTTTTCTCTTCTCCACAGCAAGCATAATAAAATGAGTTTCTAAAAAAAAATCTTTAGCACTCCGACTGCAGAAACTTATTGTCACCCTTTGTGACACTCTTGTCCATGGGATGATTGTGTAAGTATGGGAGTGTGACAGAAACACCCCCATTCAATCCCCATCTCTACCCATCCTGCATTGGCATGTAAATTCTATGACCAGACACAGGTTCATATGATAGATTCACCCAAGTTCTATTGTCCCAGGACATTGGCATTTCATTAGTGTGTGTCACTTCTAGCTCTAACAATGTTATTAAGAGAAAACCCGTGACAAATTGCAATGTCAGGGGACGCGCCATCAGATAATCCCCTCTCTAGTTAATGGGTATGCACCAGGGGAAGCAGTTACTTTGGCACAATAGATCCCCAAGGAAAAACTATATGACCTTCTGTCTATTCCTCTACCAGTTCTGATTCTTGGTATGTTTAAGTAGTTTAAACCTTTAGCTGAAAAAGATGAATCGCTGCAGTGTAATGTTGTGTTTTGTCTCTCAGTAAATTTGAAACAGAAGGTAAACAAATGCATTGTCAGTAGCCAGACTGGATAAATATTTTGATGACTGCCACACAAGAATCTTAAAGATTAATTAATTAATTAATTAATTAATAAGAATTTTAAACAAAATGTATTTAATAGAAAATTACAACAAAAACAAAGAAACACTATAATTGTTCAGCAGACTCACCAAACTCACTCATAATATTCTTATATGTCTACTCTTCTTGTTCTTTGTTAGTCTGATATATCTGAAATAAGATGGTTTTAATGGAACACAATATATATTATGTACATAAATTCTTGTAAGTGGATCAGTTTGCATAGGACACAGATATGCCTCGTGTCACTTATTTCTCCACGTTAGCAAATTTAAAAAGATGAAAATGGTGAAATTTTAACACTTTACAACTCAAACTCTTTTGTGTATTCTTGCAGTTTAAATGACTTGTTTTTAATTCATGGATTTTCAATACGGGCTCTAATGTGCTATTATGACTCAGTTGGCAAATATTGTAATCACATTGGTCACTTTTACTTTTGATACAATCTTTTATCATTATTATTTTTGTTTACGCACATATTTTTTGTTTTAACTACACTAATCTGATTTAGTGAAAGCTTGACGCAAGAGACCACAACCAGAGCAACCGTTGCCAGGAAGTGACGTTGCATAGTTACGAGGCACCACCACCGCAGCAGTCAGCTGTAGCCCGCTAACGTAGATTTAGTTTGTTAATGCGGGTTTACGTTTCATTTATCCGTCTTCTTCACGGAATACATGTCCTCTCTCAACAAGTAAGTTACATGCAGCTGTAACGTGAAACACGGCTCATCGTGCGACCCTTCGCCAGGTAACAAACCGCTGTCATAAGGCCAAAGTTAGCTTTAGTTAGCTGCCAAACCCAACGTGTGCGTTTAAAACAAAGCTTTAAGGTAGCTTAGCTAACGTTAATGTATTATATTAAAGTGTCTGTTGCAACAGTGCTGTTGTCTTGGCAGGTTTGTCCAAATGGCGTGCTAAATTGTATTGCTACATTCGTTACATGTAACGTTAGATATCTTTTTATTGAATACCTATTGAATTAAACATGCCTTAATAGCTAGCCAATGTGTACGTTTCAGCTCCTTAACTACAATTCACGTACAATATACTTAACATAACATTTTTAAATGCATCTTACAGTTTTTATCTTTCTTACATCGATTTTCCATTTCCACGTGTGTCTTTATGGGTTGTAAATCACCTGCTTTAGCTGTGTAATCTGCATTAAGTGTGAATACATTCTCGTACAACGCTGTTTTGTGCGATAATGCAGGTTGTAAGTGCAGCTAGTAGAGTCTAATGTCACAAACATTAATGAAGCCTTTAATCTCTGGATGCATAACACAATTTAAGCAAGTTTAAAGAGTTTGTTAACTGATTTTTTTTCATGTGTGGAAGTGACTGAAACCCAATTGTTGCAGTGGAGTGATTAAAAGAATGCATTCAGTTTGTAAAACACAGCAGCATGGTTTGAAGAATTGTTACCTGCAGCTTCAAGTATATGTAATTTGTAGTGAATGACTTAAAACCTGAAAATCTGCACTTTTTAGATTATCTAAAGTCTCAGTTTTACACTATGTTACAGGTCCGGTGTGTTGGGGGAAGACTGCCATGTTCAATCCCAGTGATCTAGAAGGTGAAGTGGATCATTCGTTCTTTGACAGTGACTGTGGTGACAGCAGGGATGGAGGAAAAAAGTTGGAGAAAGGCTTGAAGGTTGACAAACAGACCCCACCGGCACATGAGAGGCTGCATGCAAAACAGACTGAAAACACAAAAGGCGGGTGTTCCCTCAGGAGTGATGGGACGGGAAAACACCTGAAGCCAGTCGAGCACGTCAGCAGCAGCAGGGCAGAAAAGAAAGACAACAGCTGTCCATCAAAGGAAGATGAGAGGAGCAGGGTATCATCCGTTGCCTGCACGTCACATAAAGTCATCAATAATAGCAGTGATAGTGAGGAAGACTCTAAGTTGTACTCTAAAAGGCCCAATGGAAGATTTATGGCTTTGCTGGCTGAGGCCAGGGAGACGAGTCATAAGGATCTGCACAGCCAGAGTCCAACCGAGTCTGAAGAAGAATCATTACAGTCCAGTGCTAAACACTCAAAAGGGAGAAGTAAACAATCTCCAAAAAAACGGATAAGAAATCGGTGCACCCGAAGTCCATCCCCTACTTCGACTGAGGCCAGCATAGACGCAGACTCAGAGAGCTCCTGTAGCAGCAGCAGCAACAGGAGAGGCAGTTCAGACTCTCCCGTCCTTCCCAGGTCCAACAGGTCTTCTTTATCCCCGGGAATGACAAGGATCCGAGTGTCCGCCAGCCGCGCAGAAGAGTCAGACGATACAGTGACAGATGTGAGCCCTCTCTCCTCTTCTGACTCCAGCCCTCTCCAGTCGATGAGCCTGAACCGCACAGAGGCTGAAGAGGGAAGCCTCAAAGAGCAACAGCATCAGGAGGAGAGTGTGCCCTCCAGTGGCCTTAGCAACACACATCAAGATGAGGACTCTGATCCGGATGTAGATGAGTGTAAGTAAACCTTTTATTTTGCATTTTACAGATATTTGTAAGTCAGAATAAATAAACCTATTTATGTTATTTGCTGTGTTGTGCCCAGTCCCCAAAGACTTATAAGACACCAAAGTCAAACATTTGTAAGACACGAAAATCATAACTTCTTACATATAAGAAGAAGTCTTCTGTCGCAAACCCAACAAATAAAAACTGCCACAAAATAAATCTCTCACCCTAAAACATTCATCCATCTTCAAGAACTGATAAGAAATTACACACACTTTACTAAAAAGTGTGTCCCTTAACAAACAAACTAAACTGCTGTTTCTCTTCAGAGAGAGCAGTAAACCTGCCTGTTACTCTAACTAATGGTAATGTAACTGAACACTATTGTGCACACAGAGATTGTCAAGTTATAGTTGAATTCTCGTTCACATAAGGCTCTACACTAGTTGTTTGTCATGACACACTATGTTTGTAAACATCAACAAACCATCTTTCGTTACACCATAAACATTTGAACAATTTATGCTGATTTTGAATAAACAATAAATGAAACATACAAAATGAAGATTTCAGGAATGTCCATGCAAAATGTAAACATCACATTACAGGACTGTTTTTGTATATTTCCTTTTCCCATGTTTTAGTTGTACTCTATAAAGTAAAAGAAGCATTCAAACATTGCATAAAACACAGTAAAACTCTCTTTTAAAAGGCTGATTCAAGATAATGTAACAAGTGTCCTCTTCATCAATCAGGTTCTCTCCGTTCAGAGAGTCAGCTTGGAGGTAAACTGGTGTTCTGTCCTGGAGGAAGAAACAGGAAGAACTACTCGTTCACTAATGACGAGGTCCGATGCATCGATCGCGAGAACCAGCGCCTTCTTCGCGAGCTTTCACGCCTCTCTCCAGCGCCCAGACCAGGAAGTACAGTGGGGAAGAAAACCCACATGGCCAGTAACTCGCCATTCGTTCGCCCCTCTCACAGCGCACTCAACAGGCAGCGGGAACAGCAACGCATCGAGAGAGAGAACCTGGTGAGGTTCGCCTCCTGTGTGCATGGATCCTCATTTTGATGAAGACATTAAACTTTAGTAAAGATATATGTATTCATGTCAGTCTAATTGTGTGCTTTAAGTGTGTGCTTCATTAGCTATAACTCAGTGCTCTTGATTCACACAATGTTACAAACTGCAGCTCATTAAATCTGAAGATGTTCTTTTAATCAGCTATTGTAGACTGTTCTGGGAGAATCTGCAAGTTAAGTAGTTGGAGCAATCGGTCATAATTGTCACAATAATGTAACTGATTAACATATTTTCGTCTTTTGTCTGCAGTTATTATACTTTTTAATAGCTATATGCCTGCTGAAGTATACATTTATTTAAGGATACTAGTTTGATAGGAACTAGTTAGTTGGTGTGAGACTAAAAGTGCCCCCCCTGAAAGGAGACACGGGTGGACTTGGACAGATGGCAGCAGGTGGCAGGCTTGCAGCAGCACAGTGACATTAGTTTGTCTGCAGCTTTAGCCTCTCACCCCGTGTATTAACTCTGCTTTACCACTTATGATTGATTGAAACACAGGGCGAGACAAGCAGCAGTGTTTAAAAACCATTCAGGGAATTATAATTGGCAGCCAGCGGAGTGTTACTGTCTCTTCTGACGGGGGTTGACAGAAAACCTGAGTTCATTTGTTCACTTCTATTTGTATCAGTATGTTTCTCATGATTGCTGATTAGAGATCTTACATGAATCCTGATTGTTGTTTTTATCAGGGAATGTGTTCAAGTCATTTTCAGACGGACTGTTCTGTCTCCTGAGTCCCTCTCTCTGCGTTGTCAGGAGAGCTTTTCTGCGCCTTCTCTATTCTTAGAGTGAAGTAATTGAATCTGCCGTGTGATCAGTGAACCCCACACATCACACATGTAAGACACCCCGTTTGTCCTGCACAAGTAAAGCGACTTCTGTGTATTTTAAGACTGGTCACTTACACAATATATCTTAATTTTGAATATAGAGGGCTTGATTTAGTTGGAAGAGATTTCAAAAAGGCTATAGTTAGTTTGTCCGACTTTTTATAACCTCTGGAGGATTTGTGAACTTGAGTAGAACAGTCTCTTGGTTGTTGAGCTTTTTGCTTGTTGCGTTTCTTCACGTAGAGTTTGTGCTTACTGAGGGATTTCTGCACAGCATGCATGTGGGAGTGTGACTGCATGTATGACATTCAACCACTTGCCTACAATGTTTGGCCTCATGCTGTTTGGTTGGGTTTGCTGTGATGTACCAGATATTTTTCTATTTTCATAATCCAATTGGGATTTGTAGAACGAGGACTATGTGTGCTTTGTTTCTGAGCCAAGCACTTGTTTATTATATAAATGTTATAAACACTTGTTAAATGTTAAAATTGTGGTTCGCATGTCGTGGGTCAAAGACAGTGAAGTACAGGAAATGGCTCAATGACTCAAATGGGAGAAAAACCTTCATCGTTCACATAAAATTCCTGCTAGTGAGCCTTGCTGCATTGTTATGTTTTATGGCTGAATTGTGGCATAACACACTCTCAGAGGCACTGATGGCTTTAAGAGCATAGATTTTGAAGCACTTTTATATTCAAAATGATGGATAGCTTCCCGAGGAAAGCTTTGGACAATAACCTCATGTATATGCCAACATTTTTCCAAGGTGTACATGACTGATATCCTGAAAATGTTGTGTTTGTGTAAAAGGATAATTAGCACAAATGTCAGTGTGTTCCTTTCAGGCTTTCCTGAAGAGGCTGGAGTCCGTCAAGCCTACACCTGGCCTAAAGCGTTCGCAACAACTGGCAGACTACCAGCGACAAGTTGGATACCTGGGAGCTCCTTCATACCCCATCTCTATGTCCAGCACAAAGAAAGAGAGCTCTTCTAGCAAGACGCCCTCAGGTATGTAACTTAGTACAACTTGTGAGATAGCTGCACAGCGTGAAAGCACCAGCGCACCCAACCCTCACTGATTCCACAAGAGCAGGTTGCCCCCCCTGCAGAAGTGTGTGTAGTTCAGCCTGCTGTTGTTTGCATGTGATGATTCAATCAAGGTAAACAAAGAGGATCTGCATGCGGCACTGCGCTGTGGTGCTCCTCTCAAATTGAAGGCTGCAGTTTTATCACACATGTCTGACCGGCTGATGGCTGCAGAGATTAATTTAACAGAAGAAGACTTTCAGTTAGTAAAAAGCAGCTGTGGATGACTGATACTGGTAAGAATTACCCATTCATTTATGGTTGTTCCTCCTGTCATACTAAACCTTTTTTTTATGTTTATTTCAATTGATTAACTGATTGAAGAGTTTTAAATATTTTTTCTAGTTGTTGTCAAATTGTGTAAACTTTATGTCCTTGCTGGGTTTAAGAGTCAAACTTTAAATCATTTGCCAACAGTAGAACCAACTTCTTTACCAGCTCTGATGAACACCATTGTGCCTGTGTGTGTGTGTTTGTTATGGTTGAAATGTTCAAATATTAAATGTAAATGTTCTCATTGGAAATTTGGTTTAAAAATGTAAAATATCGTCTCTGTTCGGTTTCTGTTCTTATTAAGTAAAGGTAAATATGTAATCATGAAATATCTCTCTGTTGTCCACACCAGCAGGTCCCAGGCCTGTCAGTTCTGCCCACAACAGCTCCAGAGCAGTTTCCACCACCACCAACTCTAGCAGGACATCCATAACATCAAACAAACTGAGTGCTGCCCGACCAGCCTGGTGCTGAGAACACTGCGGTTTTCAAATATCTACAAAGAAGCTCATCGCTGGTTCCCTTTAGTGGTATCTGTTGGTATCTATTCATTACAAAAGGCTCATTTTGGAAGGTACTAAGCTTAAATGATCTTCACTTAATCAACTATTCAGTGCTTTGTATTGTCATTTTTCTCTACTCTTTGATGCCGAAATATAGCAAATGATGCTTTGAGCTCAGTGCTATTGTAATGCATTTGAATGGTTCAGTTGTGGCTTCTGAATACTGCAGTAACACTAAACAACAGTTAGCTAGCTGTATTTTTGTAGGAAATATGGCCTATAAACCCACAGCCATGTTGACATGACAGACAATACATTATTATTTCAGTGACTGTTTCCATTAAAAATGCAATTTTCTGTCCGTCCGCTTTAATTACATTTGTACAGTTTATTATGCAACAATTAAAATTATTTAAAATATTATTTTGGTGTTTTCTATATTTTGCTCCCTATAAAATAAAGCTGCTTGTTCCACCAGTTAGTAGTGAGCAATTTTACAACCAGAATGGTGGACTATGGTGGAAGTATTTGCCTGATCTCTCCAAAATCATACTTATACCCATTGAGCACGTGCAACAATTGGTACACACAATAGCTTTTTTGTATTGTTAATATATGAAACTACTCCATATATTTTTATTGTGCTCATGGCTTTGAATATTTTGCACATTTTTAAAAGATAATTTAGAAAACCAAAAATTACCCTGGTAATAGCATTTTAGCTTTGTGGCTGTAATCTACCACAGGGGGCAGTTACTGGATATCATTTTTCCAATTAAAAGATTGTTGATATTTTAATAGAACACTGTGTTAATTGCATGAGGTTCTTAAATAGAGAAGACATTTTAAAATGTCGAAGTAAACAGATGTGTATATAATAAAATCAGTAATGTCTGAATTCCAATTAGCTGCTTCAGTTTCAGGGTCCTGGTATTGTGCATGCTGGCTCATTGTCTCACTTTCATGACTTACTTGGACACTTGTAACAGAACCAAAGTCAAAACGTCTGCTGTGAAAAGAGCCTGTTTGACTGCAGATGACAGGTTGCCACGACATACAACATACATACATTAAAAAAAAAAGACTATTACGCTAATAAATCTTTATTCTTAATAAAATAATGTGTGAGGTGGCACAAATAGGTCAGAGTGGTCACAACATAACAACACATGGGCCTCAGCAACTGCTTTACAAACTGTCTAACCTGAAGAGCATGTGACTGGTATCCTTCGCATCATCACAACGTCTCCACTCAAACACTGGCTTGACTTTGTCACATTAAAAGACTGTTTGTGCCTTTTGACACGTCGCAGATGGGATATATACAGATTTCTGAGGAGGCATGAGAACCCAGGTCAGGTATACCTACCTGTCCCGGGGCTGTCGCAGAAGAGTACATGCCCACATTGTAATTTATTCACCACAAGCTGTTATCACTCTATCACAAGAATTAAGACTTAAACAAAGTGAAGGGGTTTCCTTGGGGACTGGGAGATTAGAAAGTTTTTTTTTTTTATGTGAACTTCTTGATCTCGTCGTACAGCACCAACACAAAGGCGCCACCCATGCCTCTGATCACGTTGGACCAGGCACCCTTGAAGAAAGCTTTTGATCCCTCGTCCTTGAGGATCTTCCTCCAGCAGTCGATTGTGCCCTTGTACATGATGTCAGCTGTGGAAATAGAGACATGGAGACATGGATAGTGATGCGTAATGCCCATAAATGCATGCGTAAAATGCGTAATTGCGCCAAACGAATAAAATACATCACTGTAAGAACGTGGTTCTACAACCACGAGTGACGCTCACCTCCTTTGCGTCCAGACTGCATCATCATACGACGTCTGACGGTGTCGAAGGGGTATGAGATAATGCCAGCTGCGGCGGTGACAGTCTGGGCGATCATCCAGCTGACGACGATGTGCGTGTTCTTGGGGTCTGGCAGCATACCTGTTTGGAGGGAGGAGAAAAGTCACGCGCTCGTCACGAGAGAAAATACACACAAACTTAAATGTTAAAAATACATGACAAACGACCAGATGTGCGCACCTTTAGCTGTGTCGAAGCATCCGAAGTAGGCCGCTCTGTAGATGATAATACCCTGCACTGACACGTTGAATCCGAGGTACAGACCCTTAAGGCCATCGGTTTTAAAGATCTTGGTGAGGCAGTTTCCAAGACCGGTGAACTCTCTCTCAGCTGTGCCCTTGCCGATGTCGGCAGCGAGCCTTGTTCTGGCGAAGTCGAGAGGATAGACGAAGCAGAGCGAAGTCGCACCAGCGGCACCGCCGGATGCGAGATTACCAGCGAAGTAACGCCAGAATTGTGTTTTTTGATCCACACCACCGAGGAAGATCTTCTTGTACTTGTCTTTGAAGGCGAAGTTGAGGGCTTGGGTGGGGAAGTAACGGATCACGTTGGCCAGGTTGCCTCTCCAGAAGGAAATAAAACCCTGTTCCTTCGGGATTCTTACCACACAATCAATGATTCCCTTGTACTGCATCTCTGCAGTGATCTGTTTGCTGGCATGCTGGACCTGCAAGTAAAGACAATAAAAACTCATGAAAAAGACGCGTAACTACCCCAAAATGTGATTCATTCTCTCGTAGAATTCTCTCGTTTGTGCAAAGGAACTTAGCCATGCCTCTTTCTCTATTGACAACAGGACATATTGTTGTTTATTCTAATTTGAATGACTTCTTGTGTTTAATATCTTCAGTGTTTAATATTTTCCGACCAGCCTCTACTGTGTGTAGTTGTAGGCCTAGCATGCACACTCCTGTCACTTGAGAATCAGCTGTGTATTAGATTACATTCTTCAAGTTAAATTTAGCAATTCAATTTCACCAAATATTACTGCGGTCATCTGTTGTATTGGAGTAATAATTAACTTAATAGACGTACCAACCGCTCATAAACTAGTATTATGGCTCTTTTATTGAACGTACAATTTAAGATTCCGTGTCATCATCGCCATCACAGCAGCAGCATTGCAAAGTCCAGTGCGTAAAATCATCTCCCCATTGACGCAGGAGCTCTCACGTGCCCTCTGACATTATGAGCCGGGCCACATGAACTCACACTGTGCACATTTTCACCTTTTTCCTATTAAAACTTTTCTAGTTTCACATCTTAATGTTTGGTTTATCAGGAACCCAACATTTACGCACACTTTACGCACAAAGCAATGGACATGCGGCCATGCTTGGACCAACAACTGGTTCAATTATTTTACCTGCAGCAACAACTTGACTCTCTCAATGGGAGCGACAGCTGTTTTGGAGATGGCAGCGGCAATACCACCTGCCAAAAAGTCCTTCATAAAACTCATCACCGCGTCCGACATGGTTGGATGTTTCTTGTGCAGATTTGACAACCCTGACTGTTCCAATCCTCAACAAGGTCCTCTAGGAAACCCAACGCCCCTCCAAGTGGACGAGGACCCCCCATCCGTCCTAATATATCGGTGCCATTTATCGCGAGAATTTTGAGTGATGGATTTGCATTTTGTCAAACAGATGAAGGAGGCTGAATAAATATCCGAGGTCGAAGTTCAAGACGTGCGCCATGTTCCTGAAGTCAAGACGGGGCCAAGCCGGGGACGTTTAAAGGACACAATATGTATAATGTGATTACTATTAAAACGTAGTTTGAATGTAATTGAATCTAATCCTGATCATAATCAAGTGTTTTTCCTTAAATTCTGCTGGTTAACAGCCTTCTCATCCATCATCCAAACATGTACTTGATGGTCAGTTGAGTTTCCAGAAACCTTAAAATGAAAAAAGGAGTTCTATGTAGTGTATCTTAAACGGGATAAGCTGTGGGACACTTTTAACAGTCATCCTAAATAATCTTGACCATTTTTAACATTTCAAAGTATAATCCTGACAAATACAGATACACACAAATATTTTCCTTCATCTCATTATATTTCTCATATAAACATGTTTTTAGGCTACTAAAGACAACAAAAATTGAAGCATATTTTCATTAGACAAAGGTGAAGGTCACTGCAGGGTGAAATTCCACCTGCTGATTCTGGGTCAGAGGTCAGATGGATGAGGAACCTTTTTTTCTGATCAAATGAATGTAAGGAAAGAAGGCATTCAGTTAAACTACCACACACAACTTGCTGTTGTTTTGTTTTAGTTTATTTTATTTAACTCTGGCCTTTTCCTCTCAGCTCACTGACAGTTTTGCTGCACATTCATTTTTGGCACCTGTTGAAAACCCGCGTCAAGTCAGCTCGAGTTAGGACGGACAGTACTTTTCTTTCAAAATAAGTTGCCACCAGTTGCGCAAAAAACGAACAACCTGCTTTAGTCAGTTTTGTTCTGAAATCGCCATCATACCGGAAATCTAATTCTGGCTGACTTGACACGTGGAACATCACAAGTGTCCTGTGGACGGAGATCTGAGACGGAAAAGCAATATGATCCAAAACGAAGCCAAGTTGGCTGCAGACGTTGGACATAATGTACTACAGCTTCCAGCCCACCAGCGGGTTCAGAGTCCAAGTCTACTTCATTCATATCTATAAAATCTACGGCTTTCAGTGGGTTATCAAACACATGCAATGTTGCAATATTGCAATTACAAAAGTCAGCGCAATAACGATAACAGCACGTATTTGCGAACAAAATACGTCTCAAATTCATTGTATCAGTGGCAAATACAGGCCTAAGAGTTTTGAGAAAAGCAGTGTCTTAGCCTCATTCAAGTAAAATTAAATGAAAATATAATAAAGTAAGTGAAGTTTTTGAGGTTTCGCCCTTTTGGTTTTCCCTTCAGGACTATAACTACCACCACAGGTCCACTTGGTGGCACTGCTCGACTGTGTTGATTCATAGGCAAGCTTCCAAAGCTCAAGATTTTTCCTAATGTCAAACTAGTAACACTGATAAACCCCCAAGAACAACAACAACAACAACAACAAGAATAATGATACTTGACTAATTATAATATAGAAAAACAAATAGGCCTAATGAAATGCTGTACACTAACTTCTGCTGTGTGGCAACACATCACTAATTCTTATGAAATAATTCTAGTTTATGTAGTCTTTATAGATTATTTTCCCACTGTTAATATCACTTCTAAGGGAGATGTAACTTTGATAGTAGACCCCGTTGCTAACAACAATGGAAACTGGGTTAATAGCTTATCTGAAGCTTACTTTGGTTGTGGTTCTACTTTCCCATCCTCATGCTGCTGTGTTGTACTGTCTAGAATAGTCAGTGGGTGGCACTAGAGAGCTGGGTTACATTAAAGGGCATCATTAACGTCAACCGTGGTACCCAGTGAAACAGGTGCTTTTCCTTGTTTACTCCACACTCCACTTACAACAATACAAATAATGCACCACTTTACTTGTTCTCCACAGGGAAATATTCTTAAGTAGCCCCCACCAGCCAGGTCAGAGGTCAGGCTCAGCTGCAACCTTAGAGCTGGTCGGGGATTCAGCATCTTGTTCACTACGACACTCCAGTCAGGCAGATGCTTGCTGACACAGGGGCTTGCACCTGCTTTTAAGCAAGCAAAAGTCGATGTTTTTTTTGTTAGTTTTTTCACCGCACATAGATTTACTTAACAATTGGCTCAGTCTGTTTTTCCAAGTCACATCTTTCTCCTCTAAAGCATCCTTATTTTGAGGTGTTATGGATTGCCTGATTTTGTGCCATTGGTTAAATTGATTATTATTTATACTTCTATTAATCTGGTTTTGGCACCGTGAAATGAAACTACTTCTCATATTCCCTGGATTGTCATAA